AATGCGGGAGCCGTGCCTCCCCGGCGCGGCCGTGGCTCCGTGCAACCACAAACAGCCTGCTCGTTATCGCAATCATCCTGCACCTGTATCTCGTTAGAAGGCACCACCTGTTACCTTGGTGTTGGTTTGGTTGGGAGAAAATGTTCTTTTTTAAGGGGCTGAGTGGGCTGACGGAAAGCATCTCAGCGCTGGCATCTTCACACTGCTGCAGACAGCCGAGCCCCCGGCACTGCGGCACGGCATGGAGGAAGGCTCCTCATTAGAATGAGCGCCGTGTTTTCCTACGCCACCGAGCTGTTGCTATTTGCTAGCAGCTTTTTCTATAGGCTTTTTATTTCAGGAGCTCAAAAGTGCTACAGTAAAACAGGGAAGAAACATCCTCTTGTCACACGCAACGGAGCAAAGCGCTGAAATGACTTCTCCAAGGTCAGGCGGCCAGGGGCGCGCTCACGGATGTGCTCCGCTTCCCAGAGCCTGGCCAGTGGAGCGGGGCATTACAGGCTCTGCTTTTTAACCCCTACTTGTTTTTCCTCCTCATGGAGGTGCATGCATGAATTTCAGTTTGTTGTAATGTAGAGGAACGTGCTTTGCTTATTCTTCATGACTGAGAAGTAGTCCTTGGGCGGACTGCAGTCCCACCTCTGCTGATGTCTGATCCCGCGGGAGGAATCAGAGCCTGCCCTTTTGGGCCAGGGACCTGCAGCTTGCTTCTTTGGCATGAGAAATTCGTAATGCAGATGCTGAATGATTCACCTCCCAAAAGGAGAAAAGTTATTTTCTGAATTTTCTCCTGAATCTCATGTTCCGCACTGCGTGCCGGGGTGGCTGCAGGAAGCAAGTGAGAATAGAGCTGGGATAAGATTTAATTACTTCTTGGCCCCTTCCCCTGCTAGGAAAGTTGTAATGGCTTGAAGAGAGGACTGCCAGGGACCCCTCTGCCATTTTCCCCCGAAGGCCTTTGGTGAATCTTAAAGTCAAATCTTCAATCAGTTTTTTAAGACCTTTGAGTTTAAAATGTCAGCCAGACTATCACGGTGTCTGGCACCCAGCGTGATTTGTTTTTTCAGGAACTGATCTGTGGGAGGACAATCTTGTGTGTGTTAACGGTCTTCACAGCCAGATTGTTCCTTTTGGTGAAGAATTGGAGTTTTCTTGAAAATGTGCCCTTGAATGCAGGAGCCTGGGGTGTCCAAGAGCTTCGCGCTCCAAGCAAGCAGGGGCAGCTTGCAATGTGGGATGTTGAAAATAAAGCGCATCCAAAACATTGTGTCATGTCTTTCTGCAGCTGGAGACTTAATGGCGTCTCCACTGTGTTTCTTGGTAGGAGGCAGAGAGTCGTAACCCTCCATTCGTCGTAACCCTCCATTCCAGGCCTTGGTACCCTTTCATCAGTGCTTGATTTAAACTGTGGGGCACAGTTCCTCTGTTTGCTGAGATAAAACTTGTTTTTAGTGTTTGAACACAATTAACATCAGCTGAAAACCACCTTTCTTGCTGTTTGTTGTGTGTTGAATGAGTAAGCAGCTGTCTTTACCTCTGTTATCAGCAGTCTGGGCTGTGTGTGTTCAGGAAATGTACGGCAAAAGCTTGAAAGGCCACTTTTTCACTTTGTTTAGGGCGAGTAGTATTTTCTTCTACAAGTGGGCTGGCTTCATTCCATTTCTATTAAAGTTTGATATTAACGTCTGTCACTGTAGTATCTGAATACCTTCTGCATAAAATCCTGTCTCGGTAGCAAATTCCCTAGCAAAATGTCTGCTTACAGAAAAATTCAGTGCAACATCAAGCACGGGGAGGTAAGAGCTGCTGCCCCCACACACAGACACATTGCTTCGTTAATTTGTGTGTGATTGCCTGGCATAGGGAGTCAATCTTTTTTTCAAGGAAGGATCTCAAAGCTTTTTCCTACAGTATAGGAAGATTCTTCATTCTAGTGAAGGAGGAGGCATAGTCCTCCATTTTACAGATGGATGGTTTATGCAGAGGTCAGGGACCGAGGGCGGGAACAAGGAGCTGGACATAGCTCTGGTAGTTTGGCCCCAGAACTGGCATTTCCAGCATCCCCCTCATATGACCTCCAAGTGCAAAATCTGTACGAATCCAGCATGAGTGTTCTTGTGTCAGGGATATGCTGTTTTGGCCCTAAGTGATGAATCTGGCCTTAAACCCACAGAAGTGGCTTGGAGTTTTGTAGAGAACTTCAGTGGAGGGTGGGAACCAGGAGGAAACATATCTCACGGACTAGGCAATAAGATTTCAATATAGAAATGAGTCCTTTTCGCTAAAATCAGGTTCTCCTGCTCTTTCCAGGAGAAGATCAGCATGATGCTGGCTTTGGACAGGACAGTTCTGATGAAAATCAGAGCTGGGGTTTGGCCCCTTCCATGACATCTGATGCTTCGCTTCCATCAGACTTCCAGGACGATGGTAAGTCAGTGATGTTTTCTGAAGTCTTTGAGTGAAGCAGTTGGAAAGGTAAGTGCAATCTAGCATGACTTCCTTGTTGTCATTCATCCATCAGAAAACGTTGGAGGCGTTTGGGGTTTTTTTGTTGTTTGTTAACTGGTACCTCTTTGATCAATGACCATAAAATGTTACAGCAATCCCGAATTTAGTATTGCTAAGATAAATGTATTCCTTGATCATCTTGGTGCAAAGTGGAGTTGGTTGTTCTGTTTTGGATGGAAAAGAGCAGAATTTGACCTGGTGACTAGCGTTTCCCAAAGTTAACGTGCGACTTTTGGTTGCGTTTCTTCTTGGGTGCTCAGCCTCACGCTTTAAAGGGGCTGTGTCTTCTCAAACCTTGTCTTCCCCCCACCCTTTGAAAATGAGACCTCTTCAAAATGCTTTGCTTCGGAGAGCCTTTTCTGGGGCCTTTTCGTGCTTGGGAATTTGGGGCTGCTTCTTCCTGCGAGTGTAAAAGTGCTCCCGGCCGAGTGGTTGATGGAAGCTGCCACCCGAGGCCAAGGGCGCTTTCCGAACCATTAAAATGTCAGGCTGATTTTTTTTCAGCAGTTGCTGTGATGCTCACGTCTGCTTGGGAGTGGTGGTTTGGGAGTGATGGATTTCGATGTGCTATTGAAATTGAAGCCTTCAGAGCTGAGCTAGCTCTAATCTTCTCAGGGGTTATCTTTGGGCCCTAGCGAAGGCTTGACTGCTTTGGTCTCAGATTCT